ACCCTCCACATAAAAAAAAAAAAAAACTAGTGTTTCTTATTATTATTTTTTTTTATGCAGAGTGTGCACACCTGGGTATTAAATCCGGGTGTGCATACATCATTTTCCAAAATCTTTAGACATAACAGCTCGAATTTAAGATTTCATCCACATTCCAAGTGCCCTTTTTCTTTCTTTCCAAACGTTGGGAAGTATACTAATGAAAAAGCAACAAAAATGCAGGTTGCTTTAATGAGAAAATAACAGGTAACAAACATCATTATGTGAGCAAATGAGATCCAACTCGCCAGCCTAAGCCTTTCTTTATTTTCATGTTCATGTCTTTGCCTTTTCACCTCTTGATTGGCCCCGCACTTACCAAGACTAGCTACCAACTTTTTCTTTAGTGATCCAGCTTTTCACTAACCCTCTGACTACTTCAAAAGCACCTAACATTCTATCTGACGAACCCTCCCAATTGATGAAAAAATATATTCAGAAATTAGGGCATCAGGTTTTTTTTTTTTTTTTTTTTTTTTCACAGCAAAATGATTTTATTAGGTAGAGTAGAAGGGGTGCTCATGGCCTTAATACAAAAAGGAAAAGCCACTGAGCATCTACTAGCTCTACCTTACTTCCAAGTAGAGTCAATTAACTGCTCAGTATAGCATATCAGATTACATCTAGGGGATTCCATTAGTACCCATTTAACATTAAGGATAAAGCCATCTAATCTTACGACACGACCCTATTTCCTACCACAATTATCTCCAAGGCATGCCATAGGATTGGTTAACCAGTCAAAAAGATTGAACAAACATCTAGTCTTCCTTGTTCTAATCCACAAAAAAGATTTTAGTTGAATATGATCAAGCAACTTACTTATATTCACGTTGGAGTCTCAGAATATCTTCTGGTTTCTTGTGAGCCATATGGACCACACCACAATGTTCCAAATACAATCCCAACCTTCCTTACACGCGATTCCTTAGCCCACACCCCAAATTGCTCAAGATTTCCAACAATCAATTTCCAAAGTAATTGTGATCCCCCCACTATTTCCCACAAGCCTTCCACAGCCACCTAGCTATCTTACACTTCAAAAATAGGTGATTAGAGTCCTCAACCTCCCCCTCACATAAAACACAGTTATCATCACTCGAATCATTAATAATCCCTCTTTTTTGCAAGTTACTCTTGGTTGGTATTCTATCTAGCAATAGTTGCCAATTAAAGGTAAAGATTTTGCTTGGAAGAGTAGGGTTCCCAACTTTCTTGTATATTGAGGATGTACCTTGTCCACTTTTTTTGTTTGCCAATAATCTGTAGGCTGTTTTAGTTGAGTAATTGCCTTCCTTGCTATGCTTCCACTTCCATATGTCAGGGTTGCTAGGAGATATCCGCACTTCGTCCATCTTTCTTTGCAGTTTCGCAGCTTCTTCTCTTTCCCAGTTGAACAAGGTGATATGATGTGGCCCTAGAGCTGATCGTCTTCCCAGGCATTGTCCGAGTTCTTCTCTCTAATTAACAAGTTGGATCGGTGTTAAAAAATGATGAAAACGATATTTATATATCAGTAAATTTAACTTTTAAAATTATGCATACTTCATATTAAAGTACATAATCATCAATTAAAAAAATTTCCTCAAAATTTATCTTAGGTTTTGGTACCAATAATCCTTTTCTTATTTGTTTTTTTGTTTCCATGTATTTTTGTTTTTTCGTAAATAACGACAGCAATATTAAAACAAGAACATGATTATATTGCTGATAAAAAAAAATGATTATATTAGTGGTATCTGGGGAACAAACCAACATAGTGATAAAATCTCAAAATTAGGGTTCAATTCTTAATTTTTACCCATTTAAAATAAAATTCTCAAAATTATAAAAAATAAAAAAATACTTGGTATTTTTATTGAAAAATGATTTAAAGATAAATTTTTATATTATCTTTGAATATAATTTTACATATCATTTAAATGATTGGATTTTTTTATTTATTTAAAATTCATAATATTAAATATATCTATTTATTTAATAATATATAAAAATTATATAAAAAAATGTAAAAAAAGGCAGGTTTAAATTACTGTCCTTTTTTATACCTTCCGTTTACTTGACTTGCAGTCTACTCCCTCCCCAAGCCCAAACGACACCACTTTTCATTCAGCTTTCTTCACTTTCCCCTCTGAAACAATCCGTTTTTCTAAACCCATTAATATTTCCAGATATTTGTGTTCATAACCAGCTTTGTTTTTCAGGGTTTATCATGTTATGAGGACATGAAGAAGTTGTTGCTGATGATGATTTCGCTAAATGTGGCGTTTTCTATTGGAGAGCTGGGGATTGGACTTTTTACTGGTTTTGTTGGTGAGTTTCAACTTCTGTTTCCTTTGAATATGTTCTAAGAAATTGGAAATTAGAGTATGATGCTTATATCTTGGGAAAGATTTGTCCTCGCTTACCTCCACCGTGTTCAAGTAATATAATTTCTACTATTATTCCTCTTTGCAGGGTCAACAATGCTAAAGTTTTATGTTTGGGATTAGTTTCAGTAGCAGTCTTCATGCTTGTTATGCCTCTCTTCAAAGCTATTGGGGGTATATTGCCTCAAATGGCACCACATAACATTCCGTTTTCAGCGTTGAGCAAATGCTGGCGGCAGGGGCCGTCTTTTCCAACAAATTTCTGTTTTTATTTGTAATTTTCATGGTTAAAAATTCAATTTCAGGTTAGATTACCTCTTGTGAAGATGTTAAAGAAGTTTCGCAAGCCCGCTTTTGGGAACTAGTACCTGGTCATGCTATTGGCTCAATTTCACTACTCGGTTTCAGTGTTATTCTTTTTTGTTCTTTATATGTTTGCTATCTGCAGCACTGAAAACATATCTAAGTTTCTTTTGGTTTTGGTGCCTATAAGATGAAGAAAGGAATGGTTGATAGGCCACTTCTTGAGATCGTACATAATTTGTGCCATGATTTGGGAACACAGCAATTGACAGTTGAAACTGGTAATGAATGAGTTTCGACCTTTCTCTTTCTTCCCTTTTTTGAAGTCCCTGGATTTCTACAATGGCTGACTGATGAGAAAACTTTATATCTGGTTCATAACTGGAGTCACTTTCTTAATACTCGATAAAAATGCCTTTGGAAAGGCATATATTTGGAATTTTTCAGATTATATGCTTTTTTCATACATCAGATGACGATGTATTAATTTACATTAAGAAATAACCCTTTTATTTCTAGACTTAAACTTATGTCTTTGTACAAAGAGAGAACACCAAAGATTTTCAATTTAGACATTGATATTATTTCAAACAAAGGTGGTGAAACTTATATCTAAATTAACACAGTAGAAATGCTATAATACCAGCCAATATGCTATAGATAGGGCTAAAGGCTTGCTGTTCTACCTTCTTGGTATACACATATTCTTCGGGTGCTCAGGGTAAGCTCTGAAAATGGTGCAAGCTGACTTCCTGTCGTGGAATTCTCCAACTTACTTAAGGAAGGAGGCATTACTGGCCAAACAAACGAGGGCCTCTCAAGGGGCACTTGAGGAGGCTCTACCTCCCCTGTAAGAACCTGCAGAACAATCTTCATAGAGGGCCTGTAATTTGGATTTGGGTGGCAACAGGCCAACCCCAGAATCAGCACACGCTCCATTTCTTCCTTCTGAAACTTCCCTTCCATTCTGGGATCTGCGACATCAACTATTCTTCCCTTCTTGTAAAGATCCCATATCCAATTCACAATGCTGCTATCGTAAGTGTCCTCTTCAATTTGTTGCTCGGGTTTTCTC